ATCAGGGCCACCAAGAAGAGTAAGGAATGGAACATGTCAACGGGCCCATGATCACTGTCTTGAGAAGCTTCTTGACTCGGGAGACAAGGACCTGGAACACTTTGCTGAGACAGGGGGAAACGGTGGAGAGGTGACTGGGAGGGGTGGCAGAGAAACAGCAGCACTTGAAAGGGAGATGTTCTGGTGACCCACTGACGGGGAAAGCTGAGTGCCTTCTGGGAAGATACGTGCTGGAGGTGTGAGGGCCTCTGGAGATTGGTGTGCTCATTGATGGAGCTGGGGTTGAGCACCTTTGGGCTGGAGTGTCTCTAGGGACTTCCAAGCACAGCAAAAAGACATTCGTAACATGTAGCCATGAAGGTCAGTCAATAAATTGCACTGCCTGGGGCACCTTTGGCATTGCTGAGAATAGGGTCTCTTGATTGAATAATTATTTCTGATTCTGAAGAGTAGCCTAGTACTTCCTGATGACTCTCAGTATCTTGAATATTTTGTTTAATATCCCAAGGAATGTCCCAAATGGAGAAAATAGTCTGCCATGGCAGGGATGCTAAGTGTTCGGTGATAAAAATATTGCATCAGGAAGGCATGTGTGATTTTCATATCATTGAAGTCATAGGGGCTGTTGATGTGGATTCCCACTTGACACCCCAAAACTTACTGCTGTCAAGTCTGAGCAGCTCAAAGTAATGTTTCCTTTTTTAAAAAAAATTTATTAATTTTAAAATGTTTCCTTCCTTCACCACCACACCCACTTTCTGCACCAAGAAAAAGGTCCCACATTTCCCTCCTTCAACCAAGGCAGCCCTCCCAAGGATGTACTCGGAGCATGCCAACATCTACTCCAACTGGGCACTGTCAGCATGAAGGCTGCAGCATATTATTCTAAAAAGACTTCTTAGTGAACTCACTTGTGATCAATATTCTATCCATCTTCCTGTGCATTCCATTACTTCAAGCTCCTCTATCTGTAAACCAATAGATTGAAATTCCTGAGGGTCAATCCACACCAGTCTAATGCACTTCAGGTACTTGCAGAGGTCAACAGAGGTTGCTATGTGCTATGAAGCAGACTTTTGGGGATAATCCAACATCTGTAGTCATAAAAGTATTGGCAGGAAGACAAAATTCTTTCCATCAGAGACTGATAGGCCTTCCCTTGCCTTGACACTACCCACTAAAATCTGCTAAGAATGGCCAGAGACTGAACCATCCCAAGTGGGTCAAGTCCCATAATTAGCATTACACCTTCCACCTTGAACATCCCACAGGGCAAGACTGAAATCGACAGGACAGACCCCCTTGGGTGTCGAACTGATTAGTCTACCACCACTTCTGCTCAATCATCAGGACTCCTGGCTGAGGCTCCTGTGTGCTAGGCGGGTGGTATCTTGAGTGTAAAGTGTACTCACAGTCAGAAATCTACCAGGGGACTGGAGGACAGGAGCTCCTGACCCTCACTGGATACAATTGATCATGACATCCCTTGCCTCACTGTTCCAAGGGCTTGCTTACAGAAGGTGAAGGGCATGAGGCTATTCAATGCCATGAAAAACAATGATGCTTACAAAAGAAAATTTGATGGCCAAATGTAAAAAGCTAAAATTAGGCAAGTTGTTCTTTTGGCAGTCCATGGTCATTTGAATAGTCTTCACTAGCAAAATTAATCAACTGTATTGATTCTTCGTTCATCTTCCTTATGTAATATCCACTTCCACATCATAAGGTAATTGGAAATGCATCATTTGGGCCACATGCAGTATAGCCCTAAAAGTGACATCCTTGCTTTCCAACACTTCATAGAAGTCTTGTGCAAGTTTACCAAATGCAATGCTTGGTTTGTTTTTTTGACTCCTGCTTCCATAAGAATGGATTGGGTTTCCAAGCAAGGAAAAAAGACTTTGATAACCTCAATCATTTTTTCTGTTTCTCATGATCTTACCTACAGGTCGTTTTCAGGAACTTTGTTTTCTTTACATTAAGGCTTAATCTATACCTGAGGGCTGCAATCCTTATTCCTCAAGTACTCAAAGTTCTCCACACTTTCAGTGAGCACGGTTTTGCCCCCTGCATATCACAGCTTGTTACAGCTTCTTTCCCATTCCGATGCTGTTTTCCCTATAATCCAGCTTCTCTGCTTATTTCCTCAGCATGCACGTTAAGTAAGGTGAGAGGATACAGGCCAGGTGCACACCTCACCTCATTCCCCCTTTTGGCTCCTACATATTTCTCCCATGTTCAGGTTCCCCATAACAATTAAGTGTTCGTATTTCCTTTCTTCCGAAGATTATCCAGTTTATTATGATCTACACAGTCGACTGCTTGGCATAGTAAATAAAACACAAGCAGGAATCATTCTGGTATTCTCTGCTGTCACAGTTCATAGGACATCAACATTCATATTTTATTTTTCTCTTCTCAACCCAGACTGAATTTCCATCAAATCTGTCACTGTAGGGCCAAAACTCTTGTAGAAGGGTCACTGGCATAATTTTCCTTGTATGTGTTATCAATGGTATTGTTCCAGTTTGTGCATTCTTCCCCAAAATTTATGGATCTCTTCTAGCCACTTGGCCAGGTACCTGTCTCCAAATTTCTTAGGACAAAGGAGGGCTTCTAGAGGTACATCTGCTTGTTTAAACATTAATTGGATACAATACTAGCAAATATATCGACCAAAAGACAGCTGGTGTGCAAAGTCGGCTTTAATACAAAACCCGTTAGAAAGATAGACATATTATTGATAAGGGGTCTGATTACCGAGTAAATGGAACCATCATAAATATATACGCCTTCAACAATACAGCACTTCCTTAGAAAGCAAATACTGATCAATTAAAAGGAGACAGATTTCACAATACTATTTCAAGTTGTCAATGCACCTGTCAGCCTTAGAGCCTCTAGAAGTAAGGTCCACAAGGACCCGGTACCAAATTGTAGCACACATCACCAGCAATGTTTTGTCCTGTTCTACAAGCTCTTCAAAGGCTAGCTTGATTTTCTGTAAGTTGCATCCACGTACACATTCACTGAAATGTCCATCAACCACATTGAAGCATAAACTACTTGGAACGAACAGTTTCATCTTATCCTTGTATGCTTCCACTGTTTCAACAGGTCAAAGTGTGAAATATTAACTCCTAAAAAATAATTCCTCCTTAAGCCTACTTGACCTCTTTAGCTTTCATGCTTCATGTAGGAGTAAGTGCAAAGCATATGAAAAGATCTTTACAGAATGGACTTTTTAATTTTTCTTATGTATAGTATGGCTTTTTGTGGCCTGCTATTTTATTGGAAGGACTATGGGAGAGATTGTTCATCACAGGTTTACTGGAATATGACTTGGAAGATGTACAGCCAGAATCCTCAATAGAGGCAAAAAATGCCAGATTTCATCTCATGCACGTTCAACATGGTATCAGGAAATACCAGTGTGTGGAGGACATCACGTATGGCATAAAGCAGGGGCACCTAAAATTAGTTTGACCCATGACAACATTCATTGACACAGTGGTTCCAACAATGGATTCAAACTTTAGAACAATTGTGAGAATGTGGTAAGACTGGGCAGTATTTGCATCCGTTGCCCATAAGGTGGCTATGAGTCGAAAGCAAGTCCAAAGTACTTCAAACATGTCGCTCACATGTATGTTCTAGGTGTGTGTTAGTCTGGGTTGACTAGAGAAACAAATCCAGAGACACTTATGAGTTTTAATATCAAGGAGTAAGTATATATTATCAAGTCCATAAGTTCGATATTAGCCCATATGTCTGATACTAGTTCATAAATTCCTTCTACAGATGCACGCAGCGCATGCCATGATATTAAAAGCAGGAAGGTCACAGGCCAATGGGTCAAAAGTCTCCTGGAAGCATCTCAGCACTGGTGCGCCTCTCCATATGGCTCCTCCAGATCCAGGGCTCTGGCTGCGATCAGCATAGCTTCGTGAGACTTGTCAACAGAATGTGATGCAGTGAGTGTGTCCCTCCACCAGAGAGGACGACGGGAGCTCTCAGACTCCTCAGGAGAAGGCCATGCCCACACAGAAGCCTCAATGGCTATGACCTGATGGACAGGCGAGACTCCACCCCTTCACTCAGGTTGACAGGTTATGTAACTGCCATAAGGTGCTTAGGAGTGTTGGGAGAAATGCTGAGCGATAAAATACGTGGAACATCGATGGAACCGCCTGGTTTTGTCAGATGTTCTCATAGCTCCCTTCACACAAAAAACTTATCCCGTGTTCCACTTAGAGTATTCCGTAGCCTCGTTTTTTCCTGGCATAAATCCAATATATTGGGAAACACTGCTACTAACATTTTAAAATTATGTTCCAGAAATTTTTTGGTGTGTATTCTGTGTCCCCCCTGTGGATGATTATTTTTAATAGGACAGTACAGTCACGCTGTGGTGGTAACAACTTTCACATAATTTGTATGACCGATTCTCAATGGATTCTCTCACAAAAGATACACTTCAATGATGACGGCAACAAATGTACAAATGTGCTTGACACAATGGATGGATGGATGGATTGTGATAAGAGTTGTACCAGTCCCCAATAAAAATGATTTAAAAAAAAAGATAAAATTCAAAGCACATACAACAGTTTTAAACAAAGATGGAGAACAAATTTGAGATATAAAACAAAACATGTGACTGTGAATCAACTTGAATATATTTTAATTCAAGAAGATATGTACGTTTCAACAGTTTCTGATGGGATGGCAGTTCCAGATGCCTTGTGATCTTGGTGCATTCTTAATGGCATACGATACGGCATGACTTTCTAGGATTCTTTGAGCCAGTCTGTGATTTCAACCAAATGCCCAGCTAGAACTACACAAAAGATGTCTGTCGGCCACAGAAGAGGTAGCTTGCTAATAATTAAATCAGGGGTCCTCAAACTGCGGCCCGCTGAGGACATTTACCCGGCCCGCCGGGTGTTTTTGCCCCTGCCCCCCCTTACTTTAAAATGTGCAGTGTGCATAGGAATTTGTTCAGTTTTTTAAAAACTGGACCTCCAATGGGTCTGAGGGACAGTGAACTGGCCCCGTTTTAAAAGTTTGAGAAATGATGCCTTTTGTTACCACATGTAGTTTGTCCCCAAAGTGGATCCTCCGGTGGTCACAAAGTTTTGACATCTGCGCCTCAATGCTCGCCCACACTCCATTCACACATGATGACTTTTTTGAAGCGCCTTTTTTGAGTTGTCATGAACTGTGACTTCCAAATAAAGCCTTGCCCACCTACCTGCACACAGATGGCTTGCCCCCAGAGTGTCTTTTCTGGTGCATGATAAGCAATGACTTAAAAAGAAAGCCTTGCCCACACTGCTTGCACACATGTGGCTTGTCTCCAGAGTGTCTTTTCTGGTGAGTCCTGAGACTTGATTTCCACCGAAAGGCTCGCCCACACTGCGGGCACACGTGCTGCTTTTCCCCCGTGTGTCTTTTCTGGTGGTAAATGAGATCTGATCGCCAGAGAAAGCCTCGTCCACACTCTGGGCACACATGTGGTTTTTCCCGAGAGTGTCTTTTCTGGTGTGTGGTGAGCTGGGACTTAAAAACAAAGGCTCGCCCACACTCCCGACACACATGTGTCTTTTCTCCCGTGTGTCTTTTCTGGTGCTGACTGAGATTTGATTTCCAAAGAAAGGTTTTACCACACTCCTCGCACACAAGTGGATTTTCTGCAGTGTGGATTTTCTGGTGTGTGGTGAGCTCGGACTTAAAAACAAAGGCCCGCCCACACTCCTCGCACACATGTGGCTTTTCGCCAGCGTGTCTTTTCTGGTGAGTCTTGAGACCCGATTTCCACTTAAAGGCCCGCCCACACTCGGGGCACACGTGCTGCTTTTCGCCAGCGTGTCTTTTCTGGTGGTGAGTAAGAGCTGAATGCCAAAGAAAGGCTCGCCCGCACTCCTTGCACACATGTGACTTTTCTCTATAGTGCCCTTTCTGGTGCATGCTAAGGTATGACTTCAACACAAAGGTTCGCCCACACTCCTGGCACACATGTGGATTTTCACCAGTGTGTGTTTTGTAGTGCATGCTAAGCTGTGACTTTAGCCAAAAAGCACGACCACACTGCCTGCACACATGTGGCTTGTCCCCGGAATGCCTTTTCTGGTGCATGGTAAGTTGCGACTTCAAAGCAAAGGCTCGCCCACAATCCTGGCACACATACTGCTTTTCCCCAGTGTGTCTTTTCTGGTGAAGAATGAGATCTGATGGCCAAAGAAAGGCTCGTCCGCACTCCTGGCACACATGTGGCTTTTCCCCAGTGTGTCTTCTCTGGTGAGTCTTGAGACCGCACTTCCACTTAAAAGCTCGCCCACACTCCTGGCACACATGTGGTTTTTTCCCGTTGTGAGTTTCCTGGTGTCTAATGAGTCTTGACTGCCAGCGAAAGGCTTGCCCACACTCCTTGCACACATGGGGCTTCTCCTGTAGAACGGAACTCTGTCCTCTGTTGACATTTGCCTCATGGTCACAGTCTGGTCCGTTCTCTCTATGGGTGGCTGATCCAAACCTTGAAGTATCCAATTCCTTTAAGACTCCATTTTTTCGCATAGACGAAACTCTTGGGGGTGAATTGGGCTGCCGACCTACCACTGTGTGGCCTTCTCTAGGGATTGCTGACTCTTTCTGGGGTGGACTGGAGGAAACCACTGAAGTCTCTCTGCCCGCTGTCCTCAAACACAACCGCTCAGGGGTGATGTCTCTCTCCTGACTCTCAGCGTTTGCCTTCCAGTAGCTCTGTCCGGAATCCTGCGGCTCGGGGTGTTTCTGAGGCGCTGGGCTGGAACCCTTCTGGGGATGGAAGCGATGTGCACCACACAAGCCTTGGGACACTTGAAGCAGACGTTGGCTGAGGACTTGCTCACAAGGGATATGTAAGAGGCGGGAGGAATAGGAGGAGTTTTCTTGCTGTGTTTCTGCTGAGGAGAGAGAGTTTTTCATTAGAACAGCCATGAGTCGGCGTGCCTGGACTGTCAGTCTTCCCTCATGACACACAGCCTCTGACTGAGGGAGTCCCTGGGTAGGACAAATAGATAATGGGAAACATAACTAGCTGTAAGGCTACTGGTTCTACAAACAGGCCTAGACATCTGATATCAATAGGACATAACTTGGGACACTCCATGGAGTGGGCCTCTGCTGTGTATGTGTGCCATAATGAGTCAGAATTCACTTGACAGCAAATCGCAATGATCATATGCCACATGGGACATTGACCACTGGACAACTTGTTTCTTCACAATGCTTTGATTCTCCAATCTAATTCATTATACTTTCTATTGAAATCCCTAAGCGCCGTGTGTCCGATGCAGTTATGCTGCCGTAAAGTAAGCACATGGTTCCTTCTGTCTCCCTGTAGAGCAATGGTTCTCAACCTGTGGGTCGCGACCCCCTTGGGGATCAAAGGACCCTTTCACAGGCGTGGCCCAATTCAGAACAGTAGCAAAATTACAGTGATGAAGTAGAAACGAAAATAATTTTATGGCTGGGGGTCACCACAACATGAGGAAGTATATTAAAGGGTCAAGGCCTTAGGAAGGTTGAGAACCAGTGCTGTGGAGGCAAACATGCCCTGATTATCTCCTCCCATGGAGGCACCCACCCCCCACATGGCTTCCCCCAATGCAGGTATTAGGTTTGCTCACCTGAGCTCAGAGACTTTACTGTGATTACCACCCACCTTGTGAAGTATGTAACTCCTGAATATGCATGACTAATGGCTACCTACAAATAGTCCCAGAACAATAAAGATGCTCTCCTCTCAGGCCCTGACCCTGCTCCTCCTTCCCCACTCCCTCTAACCCCTCTCTCCTGTCCACTTCTTCTCCCACATTCCCATATGGACCACTAAGAAGGGCTGAGGTGAGCATGCTACCATGAAATGTGTCTGACTCCTTTATTCTACTCTCTCTCCTATCGTATTCTCTATGACTTTACTATAATCTTTATATATTATAACTGTACAATTGAGCCTACCGGACTCGTAATTATTTTTTAGGGGCTGGCTACCCTGACACTAACTGAACAGCTATAGTTGGGCATTATTAACTTGCACTGTAACCTGAAAACTGTTTTTAGAAACCTTTTCACCATAAATTTATAACAAATAAAAATAGATTGTGCCCATAGCAGTCATATAAGACTATCCTATAGAAAGTCCCATACGGATTCTGTGGCTATAAATCTTTAGGGAAGACCATTCCCACAATTCACATATACCAACTTGGGGTTTCAAACCTTCAACCTTTCAACTAATTCCTGAGAGTTACAGTTGCATATAGATGATCAATAAATATCTATGGATTTAAGAAAGGGGATGAAGAGGCCCATCCTCACCCAATGAGAGCAGATTCTCGTAAATCTCCAGCATCACCTCCTTGTACAGATGCTTCTGCTCAGAGCTCAGTCCCGTCCACTCTGCCTCTGTGAAGACAATGGTGACGTCCTCCAACGTCACAGGTTCCTAAAAGGAATCAGTGAACACGGGATCCACATCAGCTTTCCCAGTGAAAGGAGATTAATCACGGACTTGGAACATGAGGATCTAAAGATGGTTATAAGCTTTTCAGAAACATTTCTCTACAGCAGGGGTGTCAAACTCCATTAAAACACGGGCCATGTGGTGCAAGAGGCAAGATTCACGTGGGCCACATCACATTTACAAATTTCATTAAATTTATATTTTGAAGTGAGGATTCAGGAATATGGATAGGGTAATTAAAGCACTACATAATTGTTTTTATTTAAATTTATTTAATTTAATGTATTTATAAAACTAAAATTACTCTTTTTCGCCCGAAACTTGCCAGTGCTTTCCTCCCACTAGTTTTCACTTACCTCTTAAGTTGCGACCGGAAAATATAACAAAGTAACTAATAAAAAAACACAAAATGTTGGACAGCTGACAAACGTGATGCGTAATCGTAATGGCTTCCCTCTAAAAAATGTTAACTAGCGCTGCCACTAGGTATGATTCATAACAGCACAACCCAGAGTGCTCTTTTTAACCTTTTCACTATTGGGATCTGTTTACATGACGTGACACTGAGAGTGGCAGACACATCGCTTCCAAAAGTCGCCAGAACTGAGTCAGCACGTTTATACATGTCCACAGGCCCCCGGGAAAGGCACTGGGCCACATGTACTCATCTTCAGTAGCTAAAAGGTTAACGAGGGAATTGTGTGGTTATTACCTCCCCTAAGTGCTATTTTCTTTATAACAATTCTTTTTTCTATTTTCATTTTATTTCAGAGCATTGCGGGCCACAAAAAATTACGTCAGGGGCCGCATGCAGCCCTCGGGCCACCCTGCTCTATAGCAATTCTGCTGAACCTGGCTGGAACCATGGTCTTGGGACAAAATCTATGGGGAGCATCAGCGATGCACAAACCATACCCTGGGGCTGTAACCCATGTCAGGTCACAAGAATTAATTTTTCAATGACTCTTACATTAAATAATTAAAATTCATTGGCATCAAATAGAATGGGACTCACAGGGACCCAATAGAGCTGGGTATAACAGCACCTGTAGGTTTCCAAGACTGTAAATTCTTATTGGACTAGGATACCTCATATGTCTCCTTCACAACCCCTGGTGAATTCGAACTGCTGACCTTGTGCTTAACAATGCAAGTACAACCCTGAGAAACACCAAGGTTTTTTTCCCCCTAACAACATTAGGGAAGTGGTAAAACAAGTGCATTTCAGGATTCATAATGGAAGGCTTCAAGCATGGGAGCCGATAGGATCAGCTCAAAAGTATGGAAGTTACCCTAGAATTGGGACCTGTGCTAGGTATTAAGAAATGGTGAGAATTCAAAGTTGAATTCCCAGAAGTATGGGAGTGAACAGAGGGGCCTGTGAAGAGTAACGCTAAAGAGTTCAGGAGATTCAATGGGATCCGTGGATTCACTCGCTTTATGAATGTGAATGATTTCTCCTAATAAAGTTCTCAAAATTTGAATCGTCATGCAGAGGGGCAACCCATACAACAGAAACCACATTACACACACCAGCAGAAATATTCCAAATGAAGGACATTTACAGACACGTGCATCACCATGGTTGGGATGCATGTGTGATGTGTGTATCTGGATGACAAGTTATTGCTGGATCACAGTCTGAGGAGATCGGCTCTGTTTCCTTTTGGTACCACCCCCCGACCCAGAAAACTTAATCAATAGAAATGACGACAGGAACCATGCTCCCATTGAACCATGGGGGCACAGTCCATTTGGACTCAGAGTAGTTTCAGAGCCTGTCCATCTCTCAGAAGCAGACATCCTCATCTTAATCACAACAATAGAGGTGGTTCCAACTCACCGGGATGTGGGGCTTCTTCTCTTCTGGGAGCCAGTCAGCAGACTTAAAAGACAAACCTAAAAACACACCCAAGGGAGGGAGGGGGAAAAATGAGGACCTAATGCCGGGGGTTTAAGTGGAGAGAAAATGTTTTGAGAATGATGTACAAATGCGCTTTAAACAATTGATGTGTGTATGGATTGCGATAACAGTTGTATGAGCCCCTAATAAAATGTTTAAAAAAAAAAAAAACAAAACAAAAAACACCCAAAACCAGAAACTATGAGATTGGATACCACTCACAACGCTCCCACAGGGGCTTCGCTGGCTTGGGCTACTTAGAAGCAGTCAATGTACCCGGTGGGGGCCACCTATACGTTCATCCTCAGCATGGACTCTGATCCCCCAATTCCCTCTGCAGACCCTCAACCACTCTCACCTTTCCCTTTCCGTCTCCGCGTCCGTTTCTTCATGGTTTCCACACTGTTTCTTCTCTTTGAAGATAAAACCTTCTCAAAGGTCTGCTCTTATGGGACAGAATGGACCAGCCCAGTGACAACTTTAAACTTGATGTCGGGACTACTAGGAATCCATTTCCTTTCCAGATGGAATTCTGCTGCCTGGGTGACTTCTCAACATCTTCGTTATAAAAGCCCTTTATTTTCCCAGCATCTGTCACCTAGGGAGGGGAAAAGAAGGTTGCAGTTGTGTGTATGTTCTACCCAGTGGTTCTCAACCTTGGGTCGTGACTGCTTTGGGGGAGTCAAACGACCCTTTCACAGGGGTCGCCTGATTCATAACAGTAGCAAAATGACAGTGATGAAGTAGCAATGAAAATATTCTTATGGTTGGGGCGAGTCAACATGAACTGTATTAAAGGGTCATGGCATTAGGAAGATTGAGAACCACTGCCCTACACTCAGGCCTTTTCTGGAATAATCCTATCCTCTAACACCCATCATTCACAAAGAATGAGGTCAGGCAGTGGCTCTGGGGTTTTCACCTCGATTCATTTTTAATCGAGAAACTTTCAGATCTGTTCCCTCACATGCTTTTTTATTCTTCTTCTCCCCTTAGCAGCCAAACTGTACTATGCTTGTAGGTCCCTACATCTTAGATTCTATTTTCATATCACGGATCAGTTTCTGCTACCTAAGCCAGAGATCACAGAATACAGCTCAATTCCTTTGTTGAAAATAGTCTTTGAAGCACCCAACAGATGAGTCAAGTCATGAAGAAATAAGCCTCTATCTCCCTATGCCCAAAGCTCCACTTGTGTTCAAGTCCCCAAGTCCCAGTATTTGGAGACAGTTGGAGATTTGAAGTGTGCCACGCCTAGTCACCATGACTATAACCTACGAGTGTCACCTTGCGTATGTCACATGATCCTGGCACAGTCTTCCACTCATTTGGTATAGGAGGTAGTTTTAGAAGGCAAGGCCACCTTCAGAATTATCTCAGATGTACTACCCAGAACATCACTTCAGTCCACCTTGCTGCTGGTGTGAACTCCCCTGGCATCAATTCTAAGCGCTCTGAAAGTTCTCAAGTCTGTGATCTCTTAGTACCTGAAGGTCAAGTTTATCTTCCAAGAGTCCTCTGTGTGGATTTGAACTACCCACCTTCCAAAAAGTAGTAGTTTAGTCTAACTGTGCACTGCCTGGGTCGTCCACAATTCTGCCTCATGAAGACACCCAGTCACTGGACTCCAGTCAATTCTGACTCACAGCAGCCCCATAGGACCGAACACAACCGGTCTTTGGAGCTTCTGTCCCTTTAAGCCATCATCAGAGCACACGGCCTCATCTCTCGACTACAGAACAGAGGCTGGGTATGAACTGTGGACCTTGTGGTTAACAGCCCACTGCTTATTGAATGTGCCACCAAGATATGCATGAAAAATATTTTTCCAGGGGTGGAGAGGGTATCTCACCACTGAAATTGCTAAAATTTCTAGGAGTATTAAAATCATCTTAATCCTTACAAACCTGTTAGTAAACCAACTTGATCAATAATCTTGGGTGTAACTTGAATCAATGATGTGCTTGAAGCCGCCCCACAATGTGTACATGGGAATTCAGATCCCTGGCCTTCTCCCTCATTAAATGAAAGTTGTGTACCCAACGCTACAATGAACATGACTACTATCACTACAAGCCTTATTTGTATAAGCTACAAAGGTTCATCTGATGACCTGCGTACTTTTACTACCTTGCTTTTCTCCCTCGTTTCAAGACATATCATAAGATTACTGAGAATTATGAAGAACCTAATCCTTTTGCTAACAACTGAAATACAACATCAGCAAAAATACACAAAACATATCACCAGATGGCCCTATTTGTCCCTCTCTTCGAACACAATAAGAAACTGATCTCTATGCAATCATTTCCTCCTGGTCAGTTACTCTGAAAGAGCACAGATTATCCCTCTTCCTGATCGCAGAAATGAGCAGGTATTCTCCTTGCATTATCTGGGTTTGCATTTTGTTACTGCATATCAGAATAGGTAAGGGAAAGCAGCAACAGAAAACTCATTACTTGGGGAGGACCTATGTGCAGGAAAGAAGTGTTTGACTAGTGCTCATTAGATTATACAGGCTGGTCCTGTAAATCTTCCCACTTATAGTAAGTCTCCACTGTAATAATCTGAAGTATTCAAAAAGAAGAAAGATGTTCATCTTTCTTAATAGGACTTTTTCCTTGGCAGGGAGAACAATCTGGAACTTCAACAACACAAGGAAGAAAACAGATCCTGCTCTTATCACTAATGGATTATCAGCCCAACAGAATGCAGTCAACAATTTTGTCAAGGTAGTACTAGGAAACAAAATGTCTCCAGACAAGGAAGAGCCAGGAGGAACTGGTGCCATGACTAACACCACTGAGTCCACAGAGGCAAATCCCTCTACAGAGGGTAACTGAGAGATTGATGTGATTTTCCAGAAAGCAACTTGCTTCCATTCACCCTGAACACAGGAAAGGTCAATGCCATCAAGTAGATTCCAACTCACACTGACCCTAGACCAGGCTTTGGAACTTTACAGTCATCTTTAGATAAGTACCTTTCTATCTTTCCCTCAGAATAATTTTAACACACAGGATGACTCAAAGAACTCACTGACTGGTCATAAAGAGAAATCACGCACACAGAAAGCAGGCACGGTGCACACTGTCAAGATCACTTCTTCAGCAGCCCTTCATCTAAAGCCAGGTAATTCCACTGATCTGACCTACTTCATATTCCAGATGAAAGAGGCTACAGCAATTGAGACTCACAGCAACCCTCTTGGGTGGTGTGACACTGTCCCTTACAGGTTCCAAGGCCAACATTGCGGTTAGCAGTCAAGCACTTCACACACTGACCCCAAAAGACTCCTCCAAAAAAATCCACATCTGATAAAATAAAGTCCCTCACGGATCTCAACTCAACAGCATGCCCACTTCCACCCCACCCCACCCCACCGCACACACTAAAGCACAGAAAATACAGAGACATCAAGGCCCCCCATGTTGATCCTGCTCCACTGGCACCTCGGGGGCGAGGGGAGTGGGGTGGACCCTGAACCTATTGAGGCCTCTGAGTGTATTCAGACTCACAGCAATGCTGTTGGAAGCAACACAAAGGGCCAATAGGGTTCCCAAAGCCATATACTCTTTTTTTTTTTTT